TTTTCTGTTTTTAAGTTGCACTTGTGAAGCAAGTTCATGGATTTTTAACATCCATTCAGCTTGCTATACCTCTTTAGTTAACTGTTTAGTTATGACATAGAAAACGTATATTTAGATTTAACCCAAAAGAGTTTACACTCAGCTAACACTCTTTGCCCCAAATCTCACTTATTCAAACAACATGACTGTCTCTAGAAGCATGTTCAACTGAGAATAGGCTACTAATCATGAATCAGCTCCATTATTTATCCAATCCATGTCTGTTTTGTTGTCATTTTGCTGTGCTATATGTGCACAGCGGACACAATTAGCAAATTGATGGCCATGTTAAATCGTTTCTTTCACTAGAAGGCGGGCTTGGCAGATGGTGGCCCCTGTTTTGGAGCCAGTCCCCCCATACACAGCTGGCCAAAGCTGTATATTCAGACAGGGGAAGTGAGTTAGCACTGTCAGGCTCCTGTAGGCCCTCACACAAAGGACTCCCCATCTGAGGCCTGCCCCGAGGGGGAGGAAACGCCCTCTGTAATGCATGCTTATCGAGGAGTCCCACAGCACAGGGGCAGCTCGTCCATTTTTTATCTTTCACAAATGGATGCCTGTCCATAGAGTATTCTGTGCGTCAGTAGCAAACACTTGCTTTGAGTGCATCTGCAGTTTCACAGTGATTATATAATGGAAATATGGACTCATTCCTCAAGAATCTTAGTAAAGGAAGTACTTGCCATATTAGCGCCAAGCATTTACTAGAAGATCATAACTGGTTCCAACACTAAAATGAACATCTGTGTCATTCTCATTCTCTGGAAAGTATGCTATTTGTGTCTCAGTGATTACATTAACAGGACACTGGCCTTATTTACATCATTTGATAGATTCCCATTTATTTATGTGCAATGCAAAATAAATATTAAAATAAGACATGTTTGTTTTAAATCAAATTATTAGCAAATTTAAATATTGATTCATTAACATAGATTTTTTTTTTGTTAAATAGACAACATTTAATCTAAATTTAGCTTTTAATGAGATTTAAATGGTATTCTTTCACTGTCTGTCTTTTTTTTTAATGGCACAAACCAAAAAAAAAAACTGTAAATGTAAGAAGGAAATCAAAATACAGGTAAAACAGCTATGAAAAGTCAATACAGAAAACAATACAGATATATTATATATGGAACATTGGGCCGCATTTTAACTGACTTTTCTTGCTTTTGTAAATAACATGTGCTATCTAATGACATTTTTGTTCATTATTTTTGCTGATATTCAACCCTGTAACATTAAATCCTCATTTATACCCATATATATATATATATACAGTGGGGGGAAAAAGTATTTAGTCAGCCACCAATTGTGCAAGTTCTCCCACTTAAAAAGATGAGAGAGGCCTGTAATTTTCATCATAGGTATACCTCAACTATGAGAGACAAAATGAGAAAAAAAAATCCAGAAAATCACATTGTAGGATTTTTAAAGAATTTATTTGCAAATTATGGTGGAAAATAAGTATTTGGTCAATAACAACATTTAATCTCAATACTTTGTTATATACCCTTTGTTGGCAATGACAGAGGTCAAACGTTTTCTGTAAGTCTTCACAAGGTTTTCACACACTGTTGCTGGTATTTTGGCCCATTCCTCCATGCAGATCTCCTCTAGAGCAGTAATGTTTTGGGGCTGTCGCTGGGCAACACGGATTTTCAACTCCCTCCAAAGATTTTCTATGGGGTTGAGATCTGGAGACTGGCTAGGCCACCCCAGGACCTTGAAATGCTTCTTACGAAGCCACTCCTTCATTGCCCGGGCGGTGTGTTTGGGATCATTGTCATGCTGAAAGACCCAGCCACGTTTCATCTTCAATGCCCTTGCTGATGGAAGGAGGTTTTCACTCAAAATCTCACGATACATGGCCCCATTCATTCTTTCGTTTACACGGATCAGTCGTCCTGGTCCCTTTGCAGAAAAACAGCCCCAAAGCATGATATTTCCACCCCCATGCTTCACAGTAGGTATGGTGTTCTTTGGATGCAACTCAGCATTCCTTCTCCTCCAAACACGACAAGTTGAGTTTTTACCAAAAAGTTATATTTTGGTTTCATCTGACCATATGACATCCTC